GCAAATCACTCTGTTTCACTCCTTTGTCTCCAACCTGTCTATCTTTACCTTGGGCTATGTCATGGTGTCTTTTTTAAGTTGCTGTGACAGCCTTCAAACTCATCTCCTGGTTTGCAGACCAGGTCTCATTTCCTCTGGCATGTTGTAGCTAAATGATCTTTCTGCATTTCGCCACCTCACTTCTCTGCCTGAAGCCCTTTATCAGCTCCTTCATCCTCAGCATGACGTGCACAATTCTTGCTCTGGTAAAAAGCAGCAATTATACAAGGCTTCTCGGTGCTTTGGAATCTGCTTCCCCTCCTGCCTGGTCGCTCTGTGCCTATTCCCTGTCAGTGGCACTGAACCCTGTATGACTTTGGAATAGGCCACACTTTCTCCTCTCTGGCTCTGACACATACTGGTTCCCACACTTAGAACATCCATCCTGTCAGGTGTCTTTAAGAGGCTGCGCAGGTGTCATTTCCTTTGAGATGTGTTTTGGACACCTCTTCTTCCAGGCTGGAGCAGATGCCCCTCCTGTGGGCTGCTGTGCAACGTGGCCTGCTGCATGGCAGGGGCCACATGAGTTGGGATCAGGTGGGTGTTTATCCTAACATCAGCACACCTAGGACAGGGGCTGACCAACAGTAGGAGCTCAGCAGATGCCCACATAATGGATAGCTGGGAAGATGGGATCTGAGTGTGCCCTTAAGAGATGCCTGGAGTCAGGTGACCTGTTGGAAAATCTGGCCTTTTCTCAGCCAAAATGTGTGCACTGGTCAGTGACTTAAGACCACGCTCATTTGTTTATCCTTGACTGAGGCTTTGCTGAATGCCAGGGTGCTGAGTGCTGGGCTCTGGCGCTGTTTTCCCTGCCCTCTTGGAGCTCCCACAAGAATGTAGTGCAAAGACACAAATGTTTGTTGCAGGTGACAGTGAACTCTGTGAGGAAGGGTTGAGATACAGACTAGATGACAGCTGGGTGTGTGGCAGGGGTTTTGAGAGGTGATGTGCAGGCTAAGTCCTAAGAAAAGGAGCTGCCCCATGGGGTGGGAGAGAGGGACCTGGTTACTCAAAGTGCAGGGGCAGCTCAAGGGCAGTGAGCACAAGGGAGCAACTGGGGCTGAGTGTGGAGGTGTTGGTGCAGCCAGTGTGGGTCTGGTGGATGCAAGTCTGCATTCCCATGACCTTGGGGGACACTGCTGGACTTTGCAGTGGGAGGCTGGTTTACATTTAAGAGTGGGGTTTAGGAGGCAGAATGGGCAGGATCACAGATGGACTGGCAAGAGGGTGACACAGGATGACTGACTGGCTTCTCGTTTGAGTAACAGGATGGATGCAGGTGATGTTTATCAAGACTGGGGAAAACCAAGGAGGGACACCAGAGGCCGATGTAGCCACATGCAAGCATTCAAGTTGTCAAGTAAGTGGTTAGACACTAGGGTCTAGAGCTGGAGGGGCTTTGACCTCTAGCTGTCTCCTTTGTAGGAGGAAGTACCAGCAGAATTGATTTCAAAGGGCTGCTCTGAGCACTCAGTGGGACAAACCATGTAAGACGTAAAATGCTCAGCAGCAACCTGGATGAAGGGAAATGCCCGGGAGCTGACAGTGGGGCTGCTAATGCTCAGTCCTGGGACAGCCACGGGTGATGGAAGATGTGGTTTATTTATTTTTTAGAGACAGAGTCTCACTTTTGTCACCCTCAGTAGTGTCATGGCGTCACAGCTCACAGCGACCTCCAGCTCTTGGGTTTAGGCGATTCTCTTGTCTCAGCCTCCCAAGTAGCTGGGACTACAGGTGCCTGCCACAATGCCCAGCTATTTTTTTGTTGCAGTTTGGCCGGGGCCGGGTTTGAACCCACCACCCTTGGTATATGGGACCGGCACCCTACTCGCTGAGCCACAGGCGGTGCCCAGAAGACGTGGTTTAAAACATCAGCCTGACATCTGTACAGAATTTCTACTGATGCACATAGAGGACAGCTGCTCACCCCGAGTGTGGGCTGCACTGGGGGCTTCCTTTTGAAGAGGGCAGCATGGAAGGCAATGACTTCACAGAGAGGTGCCTTGGCCCACTGCCTCAGCCAGGTGACTCGGTCAGTGCTGGTAGAATGCACTGAGGGTGGCACCTGGCTTAAAGTCTTCCTCCCTGAACCTGCCCAACCCCAGTGTGGCCACAAGAACATGTGACAAACCCCAGTCAAGGTACATTCTACAAAATACCTGACCACGCCTCCTCTAGAGCTGGATGACAGGCGTAAGCCAGCGTTTTAAAAAGCTCCCTTTGTTTTGGTGAGATGGCTCATGCCTATAATTCTAACACTGTGGGAGGCTAAGACAGGCAGATTGCTCGAGCGCAGTTCAAGACTAGTCTGAGCAAGAGAGAGATCTCCTCTCTAAAAAAATAGCTGGGTTGCAGTGGGCGCTTGTAGTCCCAGCTACTTTGGAAGCTGAGGCAAGAGGATGGCTTGAGCCCAAGAGTTTGAGGTTGCTGTGAGTTTTCACACCACAGCATTCTACCCAGGGCGACAAAGTGAGACTCCTGTCTCCAAAAAAAGAGAAAAGCTCTCTGACCACTGCGTGGAGACCACGTGGAGGCAGAGTTAAGTAGGGGCTACCCAAATACCTAGAGAGGGCTTTGCTGCTTAAGCTCAGCCCAGAGGACTTGCTGGTGGGGCTTCCCCATCTTGGGAGGGAGGTCTCTACGAGGCAGTGTTGTCTCACCGTCTAGGGGTGGGAATGTGGTTGTATGTGTGTGGCCTGCCAGGGAAGGGCCCCAGGGGGCTGGGACCTGAGCTGCATAGGGCTTGCAGGCTGGGAGGCTGTGGAGTGACCAGCTGTGTGCTAAGAGGACAGAGCTTTGTCCGCAGGCAAGGTGGAGAGCTTTAAGTAGGGGTGATTTCTTCTACCAAATGTTACTGATAGATTTGGCAACTGGGTCAGTGGTGACCTTGGTAAGGGAACTTTTGGTGGGATGGGAGGAAGTGAAGGCCAGGACACAAACAGTGTAGCTCTTCTGCAGCGTAGCTCTCAGGAAGCAGAGACAAGAGGGTGGCAGCTTGAGGGAAGGGGACCCAGCTCCAGGCCTCCTCTCTCCTGCAGGACAGAGGTGAAGGAAGGCACAGGGCTCAGTTTGCCCAGGAGGGAGGCTGAGGGTGTGAAGTCAGGGCTTCCTCACCTTCACCCCCTCGTCCTCCCAGCTTTAGGAGCTGGGGGATCCCAGTCTCCTGTCCTCCTCTCCCCCAAGACTTGTTCTGGTTCCCAGCCACCTGCCCAGACTGCCAGCTCTGGGGAGGCCTCAGGGCCTGTCCACAACACTCCCTCCCCCTCTAGCTCCTATTTTCTATGCTTAGTGTTTTGCTGGGCCACAGGCTGGGTCTCAGGACCTGCAAGCCTTCACCTCCAGGCACCTCTTCCAAGGTTCTGTGTGCAGGTTTGTAGGAGAAGCAGCCAGGACACAATGGCTGTGACTGTTTTCCATCTCTAAGATCAAGGGCAGGCAGGAAAGTGGACTAAATAGATGGAGCCCCAGCCCCACCACCTCATCCTAAAGAGGCAAAGATCCCTTTGGTTCAGACCAACTTCTATTTTTTTTTTTTTTTT